ACCGTCACGTCAGAATGCACGCCGTAATTCTAAAAAAAACGTTTTTGACGGAAAACGTAAGACACCGCATTTTATTTCAACATCCCAATTTCGAAGACATTCGGCTTCCTAGATTACGAATCAACTGAAACAGGAAACATCCAACTACAGTAACCCTGGTCCTCTCCCCCTTTCAATTTCCCCACTCTCTAGAAAATGAAAAAAAAAACGTACCAGACAAAACCAGGAAATATGCATATGCATATGCTTCAAGTCTTACATGTACAAGCAAAAGCGCCCTTTATATCCGATGCTCATTTATTTTGGACAACCCCTTTGAAAGGAGCCGCCTTTTTGTGGTCGAAAAAAGGTGCCAGGAATGGGACTCCAGAGAAAACGAAGAATGAAAGGAAAGGGAGAAGGGTGTACTATACATTCAATGAATTGTTTTTGACCAGAAGAAGAGAAGGGGATATTTGAAAATGAGAAAAAGACAGGAGGGTGTACTTTTGAAACTTGTTTTGTCCGAGCGAGCTCATGATTTCAAAAGTGCACGATTTAGTGGACTGATCTAGGTAATTACCAAAGCGATAACAAAGACTGGAAAGTGCAAAATAGTTTTGAATTTCGAAATTTTTGAATTGAAATTAAGAAGAAAAAAAGGGAATGGAAAAACAATTTCAAAAAGCAGAAACTGAAAATACAGCATTGACGAAACATAAATATTTTTTTGTAACGGTTCCAGCTACTTGGAAAAACGATTTTTAGTAAATTGCTCAGTAGTTCCCCAAACGCTGCACTTCTCCTATAAAAATACGCTGAAAATAAGCGACCACCAGGAAAAACAACAAAATCCCAAGAAGAACATGGAAGTTCTGCGGATTGTTTTTCAAGAGGGATCAGGAAGAGGTGGGGAGTACTTCTTCCGATTATTTTCGTTTCTTGGAACTTTTTTAATATAGGGGGGTTCCTTAAAAAAAAGAGAGGAGTGAAAAAAAAAAACAGAGATCACGAAAACTTTTTGGGAATCGAGAGATATATAGAGACCGACGAAAGTTGTTCTCCCAGTTTTTAAGAGTTTCCTGTACTTTTCACTTCACAGTGAAACAGTTAGTTTTGAAAGAATTTGAGAAAAGCATTTTAGGGTTAAAAAATTCAAGAAAAATTCAAAATTCGCCACAATTTGAAAAAAATAGGTGTTAATTTGAATTAACTACTTAAATAAAGTTGAAATGGATATCAACTTTTTGTAAATGATTAAACAAATTTTACTGTTTCAAATGGAACATTTAGCAAAGTAAAAAAAGTTTCTTTGTTGCTACAGGGAGACAAATTCCATAATCATGCTCTTTGATTATTTTTTCTAGGAGAGAAAGGAAAAATGATTGCCTTAAAAATTGTTTGTTCTTACAGATGACAATAATATAAAGTTTAAATAATTACTCTGAAAGAGTACTAGTGAAAACAGCCCGAACTACAAATGAAGAAGTTCTGAAACAAGAAAAAAGTTAAGAAAAAAGGTTTGAAAAATAGGCTAACGGTTGATTCTCCCACTAAAAATAAAGTTCAGATATTCACTGAAGCAGAGGTTTAGACAGTAATTCGTAAGACGGGATTAGGAAAGATTTGGCATTCTAGAATGATATCGGGGGTTTGAAACTATATTTTGGATTTCAAAAGCAAGTCGGTTTTTGAAAAAAAGTAATTTTGGAAGAGACAAATTATCTGGGTGAGAACGAAAACGGAATACGGAATTTTCATTGATTTGTGCTGTTCGGGCACAAATCAAAACGAACGAAAGGAGAACAAGAGATCACTATTGGGAACAAGAGACATTTATAAACCAAAAATCTGAAACAGGAAAAATGGTTGAAGAAAAAATTAATTGTGTGAGACGTACTCCTCAAAAAAAAAGCCTCAAATCCTCAAGTGCTCTAATAGTACTCTGCACCATAAACTTTCCAATTTGATCAATTAATACTACTCCTTTAAGAGATGTCAATATTTGGCCAACTTGTAGAACTTTTGCCATACTTTTATAGTTTTCAGATTTCCAATATCTCTTACAGAATTTGAGATATTTGAGCTTAAAGAGCAATTATAGACTAGTCTTCTATTAGAGCATCTACGGTATGTAGTTGAAATTTTCAAATCATGGGCTTACTCCATTATTGACCAAAAATAACTGGAAAGAGAAACCAGACAATCAATAAGTGAACTAAAAACATTCGAATTATTGGAAATTTTGAAGCCGAAGATTCTACAAAACTTTTTTGTCATAAAAAGAATCATGATGGCATTCAAAACCATGTTTATTAAATTTCTGAAACTGTGAATTTTAAAATTCAACCTAAACAAATGTCCAGTGAGCAGTTGAAATTTCGAAATGTAGCAGAAAGGGTTTTAGTTATTTTTCGATCGATTTCTTTTTAAAATCAACCACACTTGTATAATTCGCAAATTTAAAATATGTCCTACAGAAATTGAAGTAATTGAGCTCACAGTGCGAGCATACTGTGATATTTTATGAAATCAGTTACGATATGTTGATGAAATTCTCTAATAATAGGCTTTCTCCATGAACCAAGAATAAGTGGAAATCGAACACGATCAGTGAACAATAAGTGAACAAAAAAATCGGGATAATTAAAAATTTCGAAATCGAAGATTCTGCAAATTGTTTTTTCGTATGATTGTTGGAATGATAATGTTATTTAAAACCATTTATATGAATAATAATGTCGTTTAAAACTATTCATGAGAAATTTCTGGAACATTAGATTTTAAACATGGAATTTCGAAAGGGACTAGAAAATATTTTCAGCCACAATTTGTTTTTTTAACCAGTCACTCTTCTAAAGTTCGCATATTTTCCATATCTCTTACAATAACTGAGATAATGGAGCTCCAAGGGCAATTATTGGAGTGATAGGCTAGCCTTCTATTATAGCAATTACGAATTTTTCAAATAAAGAGATTCCTTCAAAAAAATTATAATGAAGAGCAAATCAATAGTGACCAAAAAAAATCCGAATATTCGGAAAATTTGAAACCGAAGATTCAACAAAATTTGGTTCTTGTAATATAGCTGGAATACTACAACTAATACACCAATGTCCTTTGAATCATGAATATTAAGTTTCTGTGAAATTCGAAAATCAATTAAAACAATTTCTAGTGGGCAGTTAGGGATTTCGAGAGGGACCAGAAACGAATTGCTTTTTAAAATCAACCCAAAAAAAGTCTGAACCCATCAAAATTCTCTAACCGTATCAGTAGCAAATCCTGAACCTAAAAATAACCCCCTATCAAAAGAAAATTGTCTAAATAGTTCAACCTTTTTCCGGTCCCTGTGATCCCCTTTTATCACTTCCGAAGTGTCGCGGCAAGATGAGAGGAAATCCAAGAAACTGCCAATTGATAAGGATATCAAAATGAAATATTGTTTCTCTTCTCTCGGTGGTCTTTATTAAACAGGAAATGGAACCAAAAAGAGTGCACTATTTTGACCTGCCAGAAAAAGAAGAACAGATGGAGTGAGAGGAAGTTGTAATTGAGATCATGGACGTATTTCGGAAAAAGAGAGAAAACGACGACCATTTCCATTTGCGCCGTATAAACAGCAAAAAAACGGAGCGCAAAATGATGATCACTTCGTTTCGGGTGGCGGAATTTGTTGTATGTATGCGTTGGAGGACATTCTGATGACAAGGTCTTTTTCGAAGAAGAAGGAAAAGACCACCACCACCAAATAGCTAAATATCTCTTTTTTTATTTTTCATTGCCCTCCAAGTTTATAAGAAGGAGAAGGAGAAGAACATCGAAAGACGATGACACGATTAATTATTTGTGATGAATTGCGGACAAGGAAAGAAATTGTAAAAAGGAAACGAAAAATAAAAATTTTACATTTTCAGAAAGTTTTTTTTTGCATGTAATGATTTGATTTTTTTATTGCTCCGTTCATACGCCCATGTTCGCTGTTTCCGATTGCGCAAAATTAACAACACGATTATCAAGTGTAATAAAAATCTATGAATAGGATCACAAAAAAGTAGATGAAAAGTAGATTATCAAAATTTAAAACCAATGATTTTGAAGACATTAATTATGAATGAGCAATGGTATTGCAGGAGGTTACTGTAATCCAGAAGCGTATTTGGGGAATCTGTTGATGTCCAATTTTCCGGTCTTTCGTCTTCCAAAGTAGACGAATAATATAATATATTTTTTTATTTGCAATGCATGGGGGAAATCGATAGATAATTTGGCAAGAAATGGGACCTGTACATAGGAATAGGATCACTGAAAAAAGTTGTTTTTGATTTATCAAACTTTCACTGTTCCAGATTAGTTTAAAGTATTGGGAGTTTTTCGAGAAATTCACTGGCATACCTTTCTATTTTCCTCTTATAGAGCTGATCACACTACTTATCAGGGTTATTTTACCTAATTTCCCCTTTTCTGATTTCCGTGAAGTTTCTAAACGTCCCGTGTTTTTTTCCACATATGTTGTTAATTATTTACATTTACTTATATCACTATAACTGTGACAAAGTTTGAAAAAATACTTCGAAAATTTTGAATATGCAATTTCAGACGCAAACAAATATTTTTTCAAATCAAAATTTGTTAACCCCTTTCCTTTCGCTTTAATGGTAGCCTTCAAAGGCTTTGGGATGGCTTCGATTGCACGATGGTGGTTAGAGTCGATTTGTTCCCAAATCTTCTGGAAGACGGTCTTCAGAATTTTACAGATTCAGAAAGTTGTTTTATAATGAATTGGCTTTTTCCGTTGTTAAATGTTAGTAGTAACTTTATAAAAAACAACCAAAAATATTAATAAAAACTGTTGGCTGTGTCAGATTGTGCAACACTGACAAAACAATTACAAAATGTGGTAAATAACTTGTAAAAGCATTTGAGTCACAAAAAAAAATCAAAACTTAAAACCAATAATTGTCAAGAAATTAAGAATGAATGAGCAATGGCATCGCAGGAGTCGTTATTAGTCCAGAACCTTATTTGGGGAATCTGTTGATGACCAATTTTCCAGTCTTCCTTCTCCCAAAGTAGACGATCAGGATCACTGAAAAAAAGTTGTTTTTGATTTATCCAACTTTCACTGTTTCAGATTAGTTTAAAGACGTGGGAGTTTTTAAGATATTCGTTTTGAAATCATTCAGTACTTTCTTTGAAAGAGTGGCACACAAAAGTTCATTTTTCTGGGTCCCTGATTTCCTTGAAGTTTCTAAACAGTTCGTTATTTTGGTCTACATACCGTAAATCCTTAATAGAAGAGCCTCATAATTTTTAACTATGAGCCAACATTTTCTTCAATTCCTGCAAAACATATAAAAAAGGTTTTCAACGGATAAATTGTTTATCATAATATCAGAAGTGTTTGTCACTTTTTGATATCTTTGACAAAAATCGAGAAAATTGTCCCAAAGTTGAAAGTTGAGGGACCCTTCTATCAGGAGTTTTAAAGGTGGTCTACGGTGAAATTTTTTATTGCATCAAAATGTGCAGAAATGCATGTAGATTGGCATAAAAATAAAAATAAAATTCGAAAAAAATTCCTTCATCGAGAAAAACGCATCGAAAAATACGCTGGAAGCCCTTAGAGACGAGCTTTTTTTCTAGGCCGCCCGGTAAGTGAAAGCCCGCGAATTCAACCTTTTAAAAATTTTTTCGCTCGTTCTCACTTTTTTTCGATTTTTGTCAATTTTTCTTCCAGATACATCGGAAAACTTGAAAAAATAACAGTGAAAACGAGCAAAAAAATTTTAAAAGTTTGAATTCGCGCGCTTTTACTCACCGGGCGGCCTAGAAAAAAAGCTAGTCCCTAAGGGGTTTCAGCGTATTTTTCGATGCGTTTTTCTCGATGAAGGATTTTTTTTCGAATTTTTTCATTATTTTTATGCCAATCTACATGCTTTTCTGCACATTTTGATGCAATAAAAAATTTCAGCGTAGACTACCTTTAAGGTATTAATTAATTGGTATTAATTAAGGAAAATTTTCCGAATCTCAACTTCTTGAATTGATTGCGGTTTCCCAGCTTTTGGAGTTTTTTTATTTCCCAATCACAAATCAACTGAAACTAGTATATTTACCAAAGTTGTTTTTTCACTCTGTGAATTGAAACTCCACTATTAACTTTCAAAAAGTTAATATACACTTTTAGAGATTTTGAAAGCGTGATTTTTTTTACTTTTGGGAGCCCAAACGTTGACCTCAGTTTTCACAGAATGAAAATTGAGAACTCACTACAAGCGGTGAGAAGCAACAAGACGAGCCCAATAGTGACAGCCAAGTGCCACGTGGCAATCTCTCCAGGAATCCAAAGATTGAATGTGACGATGTGAGAGGATGGTTTCAGAAGCATGTAGACAGTAGACGGGTCGATTTCAGCCAAGGAGCAATTGGTCTGAAATTATCAGGGTTTTCATAGAGAATTATTTCGTCGATTCTTGAATTCGATCCACTAGTTTTAAACTAATGAAAAAAAAGCTCAACTCACATTATCCATCATTGCCTCCAAATCAATTTCGATACGATGGGGTCCTGTGGATAAGTTCCCATAGAGCATGTCCGTATTCTGAGCCTTACAAGGAGACAAATACACCAGAATGGAGCCGCTCCTGGAAAATGCTTTCATTTCGACGAGAAGATTTGACTTATTGGCAAATTAGAAAGTTTCGAGCCTTGAACGCTATTACCATAGTTAGTTTTAAAATTTCAACTTTGAGCCAAATTATGTTTCTGTAAAATATTTCAAAATCTGCCATTAACAAGATCAAAAAACATACTGTTTTTTTAAAAACTAATGACACTTTTGAAACAGAAAAAAACTTACAACACATCCAAATAGGCTTGAATGTTAATCATTGTTGGTTGGTATTTCAGTTCCACTATTTTCGTTTGATCCCCATTCAGTTCAAATCTTCCTGTTTCATAATCAGCCACATCAGTTTCATCAAGTGGTTGGGCTCCGTTGATTAAAACTGTCATGGTTCCATTGATAGTGAATTGGGATTCCAAGCTGAAAATTTTTTGAGACTACCGATTTTTTTTGGAAAAGTCTATTACCGAATGATCAAAGGAGACAGTTGGCTGCGTGGAATTACTGTAGAAGGCAATGTTGGAGTCGCAAGAGTAGGCGTCTGAAATCCGGTTATCGAAAAAACCTTGGTATGAATGAAAGGTAAATAATTGAGATCAACTTGTGATGCTAATGAATTAGTAGAAGTTATTTACCGTAATACATTTCCATTCTTGGACTTTTCAGAGAAATTTCAAAGTTTGGAGAATAAGATGTGGTGTAGAGGATTCCTTTGTTTGTTGGGCAAAAGGTGATGTAGACCTGTAAATTGGGGAATTGCGGTAGGTTTGTTTTATGGTCTAAAAATCGTTCAGATTACGGTATAGGTAATCATATCACGTTCTGAATAACAGCATATCGTTATTGAATTGATACAATCATTGTAAAACATTAAAATGGGTAACTTTGTATTTCATGGACGTGGGAGGGCATGACAAAAATAATGGTCTTGAAATTCTGTGAAAAAGATACCTTTCGAGGAATTGAACTTGTGAGTCAAGTATTATTGGTGCCGCGCAGCTACCGGCAAAGCTATGCGGTCGATGTACAAAAGGGTTATGGTAAACTATGTTGAATTTTACTAAAACGTCTTATTCGTGGGCTTGATACCACATTTTTGAAAAAGTGAAAAATAATTTAACTCAATTCTTACCTCCAACGCATTTTCCGCGTTTTCAGATGTAACACTAATTGTCACACTATCCTGCAGACTTTGCAGTTTGATTTTTCTTGTGTATGGGTTATGCTCTGAAACGTCTTGATCAGAAAAAACCAACAAACTATGAATCTCACCAGAAACAATGAATCCGTTGGTATCTTCTATTTTCTGAGTCACTTCTGATCTCAAAATGGATCTCCGTTCGCTACTAATCGCCACTCGACCAGAAGCTTCTTTGTCGAGACTTTCCAGATGAACGTAAATTCTGGAAACCAAAATTTCGGAAATTGAAATTCAATACTGTTTCTCATTGTCTTCATTCTCACAATCCATCAGACTTTGCCACGTGTCATCTGGGATTTCTATTTCGATACTTCCCGATTGGTCAGCCATCTGAATTCGCGGGCATTCGGGACTTCCGGAGAGGAAAACGGAGAGAGAAGATGAAGTTTGAATTGATAGGACATACGAGAAGATGGTGAATGAAGCAGATGATGTGTCTGAAAAAAAGAGAAAATTATGATGGAGCACTTTTTGGTGAGCTTAGTTTTTTAAGTCTACATAATTATCGGTTTCATATAGTTCAGTTTATTTTTCAAACATCAAGTTTCCACACTTTGACTTTGGAAAATTTTTGCGGTTTCATGTGGTCTTACTCAATTAGAAAAGATTCCAGCTTCAATGAGAAAAAACTTGACAGCATTCAAATTATATTTCAGCAAACTTCGTGGAAATTGAAGCTGAAATGAATTCAGTACCGGTCAAAATATATCATATTTTGGCCTTTTTCGGTAGAAAACAGTTAACTTTGAAGACCTGAAAAATTTGTCTTGAATTTTTCATTTTTTGTCTAAAAGCTTTAGAGTATACCAAAGAGCTTCAATTTTGTAATTAACAACTTTGTCGTACAATTTCATTAAAACTCAGCAAATTTTTGGCACATGTGCCGCTACTTGGGGCACCGGTGCCGCTGCAACGCGGTAATCGTGCCCGGGGGGTCGGGGCACGCATGCATTTTGCGTGCCGCTGCCGTGCCGTATCCGTGCTCATGTGTTCCGTTATTTGAAATTCTTTCCCCAAAATTGGCTCAATTAATTTCAATATTTTCTTTAAATTTAACAGTTTATTCGATTAGAAATTCAAAAAAAAGAGTAACAAAAAAAAAAAGAAAAAACGATCATTTAAATCTGTAGAGAAGATTGTGTCGAAGATGTCGAATTACGATGAAAGTACCTTTCCTACTCCTCTTCTCCAGCTTTATTGGCGTTGGGGTTGGCAGGGTGTTTCTGAAAGAACTTTAAAGATTACTTACATAACTAATTGGATGAAAACTCACATTTCTTTGGACGAATTGTCTTCCCGAAAATCCATCGGAAGTTGTCTGGCACGTTTTCACCGAAGATCAGCGGAACTGTAAAACATAGGGATTAACATTAACCTTTCGAACATTTTTTTGAACACTGTCATTTCAAAATAGTTCAGTTTTTCACATCTGGCCCACTTACATATTTAATTTGGAATATTCATCGTTGCTGGTCGTAAAATATCTTCTTCTTCTTCAGTATCCCCCACGGTTTGACGACTTCCCTTCTCGTCTTTTATAACTGAAAAGATTTCCGACATCATTATTACTTGAACATCTCTCAACTCACCTATTTTCCTTCGGTGTCTCTTCCAACGGGACATCTGGTACAGCCAATGTCTGAAAACTAAACAGAAATATATTTCATGATTTTCCACCTGAAAGCCTAGAAAAACAAAACCAAATGCCATAAAACGGTGAAAAGTACAAAAATTTATGAAAATGAATGACAAGCTATTTTCGCAACATTTTCGAAACTATGGATAGAGACGATATGCGCAGGTGGTTCAAGAAAGGGCACGGCAGCGGCACGGTAGCGGCACGCCACATGCTTGCTAGGGGCACGGATGCGGTGTTCCAAGGGCACTTTCAACGCGGCACGGTGCCGTTTGGATGCGGATCCTGTGCCCCTCTGTGCCCTGGCGTGCCGAAAATTTGCTGAGAACAGGATAATCGATTTTAAAGTGCGGCAGTTCTCATTTCAATGCTCAGTTTTGACACTTTTTTAGTTACAAATGACATTTCTCATCAGAATGGAATTTTGCGAAAAAGTGTCAATTACAAGAGTCAGCCTTTTTTCTTTTTAGAATAATCTAAACTTTTCGGAGTAATGGAAAAGTTATAGGCAACTTTGTTGGGACTCTGAAGTTGAGTATTTTCTACTGGAAAATTAAAATATGGCGTCTTTTTGTCTGGTACTGTATCTAATTATACCCCATAAAACGCATTAACGGGTTCAATATGAATTTAAAAATTCCCCGTTTCCCTCTCTCTGTTTTTTTTTTTAATTTGGATTTGTTTTCTCATTAAACACGGTTCAGCCCTTAACTCACTAGATCTACTCTTCCATTCCAGTTCCTTCAAAGTCGTAGAATTTGGAGGCAAATTGAACTCCAATTCTGCTAGTTTCTCGCACCATCCTCTAGACGAAAATACAAGAAAACAGAGAAACCAAATTCTCATTTTCGGTTTTCAAAATAGAAGGTCTTTTCTTGTAATATTAGTCAGTTTTTGAAAAATATGAAATGTGCTGTCAACGATTGACAAGAATGAATAGGTGAAGGAACAGTAGAAAAGAAAAAGCAAGAAAAAAGGAGAAGAGTGGAATATAAAGTAGGGGTGTGTATGTGGTGTGTTGGTAAGACAGTACGAACCAAGAGAGTCAAGACAAAAAGGTGCTCGTTTTGCGTGGGATACCTGTGTAGCACCACACCTCGTGGCTCATCGTGGAATGAAATAGTGAGGGGGTGTATGTAACAGACGAAAATTTGCATAATATTTTATGTAGTTTTCAATATTGTTCAGAGGGAAAAAGGAATTTATAGATATGGGAGAGTAAACATCTTGTCGAATCTGGTGACAAGATGATGATGGAATATTGGGGAGAATTTTCGGGAACTTTCGACGGGACGGAGCTATTTTCGGTAGAAAAATGTCTCATGGTTTGTCATTCGGCGCCTAATGTCTAGAATGAATCTTTGAAATCAGATGTTTTCTGTCCTTTAGAGCTTACTTTATTTTCAATAAAAATGTCAATAACAATTCCCCCTAATATACTTGCACTTTGATCTCCATTATCTCGGTTTCTATCAAAGATATTGAAAACTGGCAACTGATAAAATATTCTCCAACGTTATCAACATTTTAAAGCTTAAATCATTCACTTTATCCGAGATAATTGTGGTTATTGCTGATCTGTAGCAAAAGTTTTCTGAATTTTCTATAAACTTGAATTAGAAAGGTGCATTCTAAATTAGACCCTTAAGAAGGTTTCCAAGAGGTTTTAAACACTTTTTTATTTGGTTGGAGAATGTTTAGGAACCCACGATAAAGAATGAAAACTTTTTTCCATCCACTATATGAGTAAATGTTTTCAGACTATTTTTCAGACTTTCAGGCGAATGTATGCGTCTATAGTGACTGAACATTTGTTTCTATAAGTGTGGAAATAATAATAATAATAATGAAATTGACCGATTTTTAAGAACTATTACTGTTTCGAGTTCAACTTATGTAGCCTTCCCAAAGTTCCATTTGATCCATGATTGGTACATTTGAAAACTCTATAGCAAGACGAGAATTCATTTTGTGAAATTCATTCGTTTTACATTGGGCGTTCAGCCGACTACCTCGTCTATTCGAAGTTAAATTAGGACTTTTTGAAACTGTATATTTTTCCCGGCTTCCTTGACTTCAAATTACACACCCAAGAATTTCTTTGTCATTCCTAATTTTGTTTTTTTCAGTTTGATATTCATTTTATTTCCACCATCAAGATTCCACCATCGTAATTACTTTTACCCTTCTTCTTCACTTCTCGTTTCTTCTCGAAAATAATCCAATCCCACACTTATTATTTTTATTCCTATTAATTTTTGTAAAACCAACAAATTTTCTCAGAATTCCTTTCCCAATTTTACATTCCACCTACATTTCCGGAAAATTATTATTTTTTGTTTCCCTGATTTTTGATTCATTGTTCGGAGCTAATAAAACAAAGACATTGGTATTTTGAAGGGAATTTCCGGGTTTATGAACCATAAAAAGTGCATTTCGTTTATGAACTTTTTGAGGAAATCTTTGCTTTTTCGGAAAGTCCCGAATTCTGAAAGATATCTGAAAACTTTTCTGAACTTTTCAATTCCAAGACATCACTTCCTTATAAATTCCATAGATATTTGATATTTTAAAAACATTTCAAAAATCAAAAACTTTCTCAAAAAGTGCCCTATTAATCATGGATATCTCCACCTCCAACACTAAAAATTTGAGGATTTGAATTTCAAAAACATACAGTTGACCCACTTTCTCATTGATCATTCTGGAAGGATTTTGTCTCAAAAGGCTCGATTTCGAAAAAATTTCAAAATAGGACAAACTAGAAACATATTGGCTTGGATCCTAGTTTTGTGATGAGCAATGACTTGGATTTATGGAGGAAGTCATGAATAAAAAAAAGCCGCGTGATGACATTTGATTTTTTTCGGTTCATCAGGAAAAATTATTTTTCTGGAAAATTATAAAAAATAGTTGAAACAGGAGTTTATTCAAAATTTCTAAAATGCGAAACGGACGGTTTTAGCTTTTGTTGTAGTTTGAAATAATCATCTAGACACCTACAGAAATATGTTTAAAATTTTTTACTTTTTCGTTCATTTGTCAATTTCATAGTTTTATTTGCATCTCCTATTTAGGATATCAAAATTTAAAAAAACTGCTTTATTTCCAATTTAAATATGTTGTCAGAGCTCTGAGAATTCTACGGAACAGGGGTGGGCGAGGACGGGAGAAAAACCTTCACGTTTTGCAAAATTTTCTCGTTTGATGTACAAATCGAGTTTAAAGGCGCACGCAATTTCGCCGAATGGTCTCGACACGAAAATGGCGGGAATTTGAAAAGTGATTTATTTTTCAACAACGCGCTGTCGGGTAGTCATTCCCCGCAGCGGCGGACACCTCCCGGGTTCCGCCGTCCACTATACTTTGTGTGTGCGTTGGCTCCGCCCACTTTTTTCGCGATATGCGTGTGTTTTGCAATTTGTTTCAGACGAAAGCCGATTGCTCGCCCAGCCCTGCTACGGAATGACTGGAATGAAGCCTATTTTTAAACTCATCGGAGTTAGGAAAGCCGAAATTTCGGTAAAGCTAGATTTCATACATTTAACTCTAGTATTCGTTTTGTATAGCTTCTCAAAACTTAGCTCCTTTTCATTTTAAGTCAACTTTTTTTCTTTTTGCGAAACTCTATTTCTTAAATAGCTTTCTGAAAATCGGGAATCCCTAAAACCACAATCCCAGAAATTGCATTTACTCCAACGAAACATCATTTCTCTCTCTCCAGAGGCCATATGCAAGAAAG